AGTTAATTACCCTGTCTTAAGAGGTCATCTTGATTCTTGATATCGTTCAAAGGTAAATATGAAGAAGCCCTGAGAGTTAGGAGAGTTGCACGTAGAAAGTTCCTGTTGTTTTAACCCGATTTTGGGGCGACCCCATATTTTTTTTGAGGGCGAACTGCTATGGCAACAGAGTACAAAGGGGGAAAAATGGAGATTTACTACCAATGAGGGGGATTGTAAGAATGTCACACATCCTTTATTGGGGGGGAGGGGATCATGTAAAGTTTATCTTGACACAGCCAAAATCTTTGCCATCCGATTCGAGTTTTCGCTCATGGCACTTGAAACATTCACATCCCGTCGGAAAAAAATATCACTGTGTTGGGAGGTATAACACATTCACGTGTTACCTTCAACTCTCTCGAAAACCGCGTCCCTGCTCAAGTCAGTGTGCAAAGACGAACTGAAAGCCACAAGAAACAAAGCAACACCACTCAACAGAACGGGACAGAAATGGAAACCGACTAGAAGCCCTCTCATCCTGTAATTTGGGAAAGAAAGAAAAACAGATTACAAATGTTGCCCTTCTCCCTTCTTAGATGCAACAAATAGTTTTGATTGTGAATTTAGGATTTTGTTAATTACACTTTGTTATGCATCAGTCAACTTTGCACGAAGTACTGATGACGACTCTAGGGGTTAGCGTTTCTTTACATTTGAGTAAAGCGTGGCGGCATTTAACTAGAAACAAACCTAGATTACTCGGATTGTTTTTAATATGTTGTTATCAAAGTTAGAAGGCAATCTTCTTTTAAGTTTAAATTAACCAATTTTTTTCAAATTGAATGACTTGGTTACTCCTTGAAACCAGTATATTCTGACCTTCAGTTTCTTTCCACTCCTCTCGTATTTTTCTATTGAAAAAAATCTTTTATCAACTTTTTAGTGAAACTTGAGACAATAATTAAAAGAAATAAAAGAAACAGCTTGAGAACCCCTTACGTAAATCAAGCATTAGTCAGCTTTGCACGAAGTACTGATCACGACTAACATTTCTGATTAACATTTCTTTACATTCGAATAAAGCGTCGAGGCGTTTAACTTTAATAGAAACAAACCTGGATTCTCTTGCACACGGATTTCTATAAGTATCGATTAGTCGCATTATGGATCGATGACAACTTTTTCCCACCAAACAAAGCGAAATTCGTCTAATAAAAAATAAGCTGCAGGATGTAATTTCAACAGAGAGAGATTAAAAGTGACAGAATTCCCTCTCACCTTCTAACTCGTACATTTATGAGTCATAATTTGTAGATATATCTGCTGTACCATACATGTATATCTGTGTTCCTATTTTGGACTCGTGCACGTTAAAATTGGCAACGGAAGCCAATATGCTAAGAAACATTTGTTTTTTTATGATGCCCTAATTATTTCTCATCTTTTGCCCTCTAACTACCCTACTAATAGTGTTTACTTTCGCTTCCAGACAATTATAATGTAGACACCTGGCAAAGTTGGTAAAATAAGTGACCAATGACCGACTACAAGGGAGACAGTGAATTTGTTTCCCTGACAGGGCAAGGTAAAGCAATCCTCACTGTTTGCCGTGGGGCCAGTCACTTTAATTTTAATTTTTTAAAGTGTTTCTCATACATCCCAACTCGAAAATGACGGCAAAAAAATAATTTTTATAGGCAGGCTGGCACACACATTTGCTGCGGTTTCATGGTGAACGACCTTATCATGTGGGAGTCGAAAGTCAAGTTGTTGTTTCCCCGGGGGCCTAGTGGATTTTTTTTATCCTAGAAAGTAAGTGTATTTTGATTCACGACTCCCGACATGTTCAGCCCTCCAATCAAAAGACGTATTTAAGTTGGGCATTGCATTACGTGAGAGTTGAAAGTCAAGTCATTGTTTCCCCGGGGGCCAAGTGAATTTTGTTTATCCTTGAAAGTAAGTGTATTTTGATTCACAACTCGCGACATGTTCAGCCCTTCAATCAAAGGGCTGAAGGGTATTTAAGTTGGGCATTGCATAAATGTCGCGTTCAGAGCTCTCTACAAGTCAAGAATTATATTATGCTTTTAGCACCCATAAGCTACTTTTCCTTCAAGTTTCAGTCGACTGAAATCCCGATATTAGCAACGTTAGGTGCCCCCTGGAAGTAAACGTTGCCGTTGTGGTGGACCGGAGTAGGCTATGTAGGGGCTCTTTTCATACCGCATGCATGTTTACAATTAGGAGGCTAAAATAGTCGCCATTCCATACGAGGGGGTTCTCCTGTCATATCAAAGGTTTCTGTATCAGAAAGTCCACTGAACTCACACGAGCGACAAT